TTGGAGAAAAACGACAGTAAATCATACAAGAGGTGTTCCAGGACTGCTGTCACAAAATATAGAGTTAGCGCTGTAAATAAAGGGACATGGTAACTATTCTCAAGTATTTTCCTCGAAACGCTACCATTCTTTTACTTTGTAGTTACAATACTGTGGAAAAGTCACCACTAGCTTTATTTTTATAGTGATCTTTCACAACAATCACTATGACTTGCATAACTTGAATTTATAGGATGAAAAAGCAACACATTACATTTCAACAACCAGTCACCAAAACACCAAATGGTGAACCAGGACTTTTACATCGCACTGTTAATTCTTGATTATCATTGCAACGTGTATTAGTATACATTGTTGCACTCAATCTGCACTCGTTTAAATGTGACGTTATCATTAATACATGTACATTTGTATTATATTACCCATGATACATACCAGCAACTTTTTCACTCATTGATGTATTATCTATCAACGTCATTGTAGACCCCTGCTAAAAATTTACTTCCCATTTTGCATGAACTGTCCAAATGCTACTGATACATTAATCATACATTAATCGCGTAAGAGTAGAATCGTACACCTTGTTTGTTTAGTCTTGTTCTGTTAATACACTTAAACGAATGAAGCAATAGTCGAGTGAGGAAGGGGCGAGCTGGGGGGCAGGGGGGAGCTATATGTTCGCTTGCGATGCGCGCCCCCAGACGCCACGCATGCACGCGCTCACGACCGACTACAGCTGCCGCTCACGCTGGAGAGCGAAATCACACTCACGCCCACTCCGCGTAATGACGGAAGGGGAGGGAGGTGGCCTACTTTTCACTCAATTGTGCTGTTTCACTCAATGACAGCGAGGCGACGTAAGCCCAACTAACCTGACGTGTGCGTGCACGCGCGTGTGTGTTGGTGTGAAGGAGAGAGGTGGGGGGGGGCAGTGGGAATCATAGAGTTCAGGGTAATTTACTACAGCTAAAGGTCACCATCTGCCTGCCTTGCCTCGTGCCCTCCGTGAGCAAGCAACCCTGCCACATACGTGTACCACGCGCGCATGCGCACACACTCATTTCCACGTATTACACCGCACCAGGGGTGTCCGGCGGTAACCCGGCAGAGGCACGCAAGCCCGCACGAAGCGCTCCGAGGATGTTGCCCGCATGCAAGCAGGGAAGGCCTGCACGCCACCGGAGCGGTGGAGTCTCCCCACGCGGCAAAGAGTGAACACTAAGAAGGCCTGCACGCACCACTACAAGGAAACTGATTTGGGAACCCAGGTCGCGCCATCTTTGACTGCCCCAGAAAAACGGGACAACATGCTGAGTCATCATCCGTTTAAGATCATCCAGTAAAGTGGCTGATTGTTCGCAACGTGGATGGCAAACATCACATTTGAGGTCAGCACAAGCTCTCAATATTGAATGGGCCAGAAGTAATGGGACACACATTCATCCAACTTTTGAATACTTGAGAGCAAATCCTTTGCATGCAGTCTTAAGTGTGGAACCCACCGACGACCTCAGCAGATGCTGGATTTCATCCTTGCTGATGCTCTGCCAGACCTCTACTGTGACTGTTTTCACTTCCTTCTTATTTTGTCTTCAGCATGTGAAATGCATGCTCAATAGAATTCGGGTCAGTTGATCGAATTAGCCATTGCGTAATATTTTCCTTAATTGCTTTAATTTTTTTTTTTTTTGGCAGATATACAATACATACATTTCAAGTTCAGTAAAGGGCTTTGTTACAGCCACAGCTGTTGTGAAACCGTTATACAAATAAAGATGTTGTGTTTTAATGTACGAGTGGGCCTGGCCATGCCACAACCACCATTGAACCACACTTTTTCTTTTCAACGATCAAAGATGCCAGAGACAGAATAGGATGTGCTCCAAAAACTTGAAAGCAGGTCATCCCCACATTTTGTTCACCTCAAGACCCAGATTAGGTTCCGAGCCTGACATGAAATAATAAATGAAACGCTGTAACATAAAATAACTTAAGTGTCACGGCAGACATGAATTTACTGGTATAAACAAGCCCTTTGATGTGAAATGGCGTCGGTTGCTCGTTGATCGATAAAGTAGCTCGCATCATTTTACCGTGATGATCGGCGACCCAATAAAAATTGACCCGCAACCCATTTTCGTTCCCGAGTTTATATTTGGGAAAGCGGGCCTGCGATAAAAGTGAGACAGGAAGCCCATTGTTATTAAATGAACGAGCAAAGACGCTTGGCACCCAAAGTGAACATTTGTCAAGTTGCCCCTGGTGAGTGGAACTTCCCCACTCACACGCGAAAATGTGCAGAACCTGACTTAATAGCTCCAAATAGATTCCGCTACGAGAACCACAAGTTGTTTTGTTTTTCTTGATGCGGTTGAAGTTGAATTCAGGTGACAAAGAAAACCCTCCAAACATGGATGTAAATGCACATGCAGTACAAAATGAAGACATTACACGTGAAACAGATGATCTCACCTTGGTGTACAGTGATCCCTCGCTACTTTGCGGTTCGCTTATCGCGGTTTCAGTGCATCACGGGTTTTTCAAAAGTATTCATCAAAAAAAAAAAAAAAATTGCGAAAATGCCGCAAAAGGTTCACGATAGGCAACGAAAGTCAGCAAAACAACAGCAGTCACATAGAGCAACATATACAGTACTACATGTATATGTTTACTGTATTTTATTATTTATACACTACCCTAACTTATACATACATATACACATTTGTATATATGTGTGTGTGTGTGTGTGTGTGTGTGTGTGTGTTAGCATATAATTAATGTAATGTTAATTACTACAAACATTTCCTTCTACATGCATGTACACCATTAAATTTGGCCTTATAAATATTATATATCCTCATACACATTTACATATACCTGTACAGGGGGGTACCTACTTCGCGAATTTTCCTCTTTCGCGGGGGGTCTCGGTCCCCATTAACCACGATAAGTGAGGGATCACTGTACTTGGTCCCGTGTCTCCCTTTGCCAGGAATGTTTTCAATTTGGCAAATTCACCAGGTGCTCTGATTGAAAAAACAAAAGTCAAGCATGCATGAGGACATCAGGCGGAGGGGCAGATAGACTAAACAATCGATCAGTGCTCTCCTAGGTTAGGGAACGATTTAGCGATTACCTTTAAATAGAACAAAACACGTTTTGGGCTGCACGGTGACCACGTGATTCTGTGAGATTGTCATCTACGTTCCAAAAGCACGCACGTGAGCTTCAGTGAGGAGTCAAAGGGGTTTTGTAGGGATTTAGATATACTGTACAATAGTTTTAACTTTCGACTGAAAACTTGAGAAACACTGATGAATCGGAACATGACTCAATGGCGCCACCCACTGACAGTAGCAGCAACACACTCTTTTCTTTTCTTTTTTTCGTTGTCAATGATCACAAGTCTTTCTTCATCCGTTGTTTCAGTTTTATTGAGTTCGCTTCGCATTGGGATAGTAAATTTGTCGCACTGTTTTTGTGTACTATGAGGTGTGTGCGTGTGTACAGGAATAAAAGGTGCGTTTGTAATAAAATCTGGTGGTTGCTAGAGACAGAAACAACAAAACAAAACAAAATAAATTACCAGTACATGTTCTTTGATATAGATAAATTACTATCCTTTCCTTTTCTCATATATCTAAAGTCACTATGGGAGAGACAACATTTGGAAGACTCTGAAGCACACGAATGAATAGGAAAGCAGACACGGAGATTCTCTTTCTTGAAGTTAGGTACGTAGCAGGTAGATGTGAATCAATTCCGTGGACAACAACTACACTTCAGTTAAAAATATAAGCGCCGACTATGTTCAACACATCTTATCCACATGAAAAACATACATAATATACAGATGCCTCACCTTACAAGTGGGAGCGTGTGTGCAGATTTTGTGCCGTGCGAATGGTATAAAAAAAAATGGAAGGGATAGGGGGGCTTAAAACAATGAGAGTACTCACACGCATACAGTATATACAGTTGATCATCACATTGTGCTCAATATTTACCGTCAAGACAAGGCGGGACGAGGATGTTTTATCACTTGCGACATGAAACTTCTGTTGAGTGTGAACTGTTGAAACTGGACACAATGACATCTTGGCCTGTTTGTGTGATTTTAATGACAACCACAATTGGCTTGATTTAAACTGAGCCAAGTGACATCACCTTTGCTCGGGGACCATATGGACTTTTTGCACATTTGGTGTTTCAATGGCTCCTTTGGTTTATCTTTTTTTTTTTTTTTTAAATTCTTTTTTTTTTTTTAGCAATTAATACTAAAAGGGCACTTAAAGGGAACATTTTTTGGTAAACAAATACGGCAGAAAACCTTAGATAGTTGACCGTTGAGAGGCTGCAGGATACACAAATACAAAAAGTAGAAGTGGTCCACAATGTCCCGCGTGATGCACATTTTCTAGTTTTCCTTCTGGGACTCTTATGTTCATGATCGGCGGAAATCTGGCACAGCGTGCGGCATATTTGTGCACATAAGGCGGGTTTGACCCAACGCTGGAAATTTTGCAGACCAGCGCAGGAAGGCGGCTCTGGGAGAGGGAGTGTTGCTCCGCGGTGGGAGTAGAAACAGTGGACTTCAATCAAAGTGGCTCCTTGCATTCGCAGAAGCACATGCACGCTGTTCAGTGGGCACTTACAGCCCAGCCGCTGAGTCAATCGAATGTGTGCCCCCCGTAGCTGTGCCACCCAGTGGGATGATTTCAAAACATAACACAGTGATTCAGAGGGTTTGATGCACACTTCCTGGCACCAGTATTTAGATATGGCCTGAGCAAGCGTAAATTTAGACCGAGTTTAGACCACACGGCGCAACCCCAAGGAACGCGCAGTTTGGCGGAGATCAGGCAGCCAAATTGGCAAATTATGCGCAGCGCTCAATGAGGATCCACCGGCGTTTGCACAACGGCGGAGGTGCACTATCTACAAAAGTTAAACCCTTAGACTTGGATGTACGACTTTATGCCTAGTGAAGATAAGGAGGGTTTTTTTTTTTGTAGCTGCTTGAAAACAACTTCATATCTTCAATCGTCCCTTCAACAAGTTGAAATCAAGTGTCCCTACGTGGCATGTCCTCTTGGGCTAACACAGTGAGTGAAGAAAGGCAAGATGTGGCCATTTAACAGGCGTGTGCCGAGAGAAGCGGCCGCTTTCACAGGATTTTTTTTTTGCCGGAACTGAAAGCCAAACCACTCAAGGTTATCGACAACATGCCTCCACAGGTGACTGATCTAGCTTGGGTAGTCCATGGTGGGGTGGAGGGTGGGGGTTGCAATCGGGCAACTGGGGCCCAATCTTGAACTTCTTGCACACCGGGGCTGCCTGCCTGCAACTGGCCTGTCAGTGTCTCTTGGCACGTAGCGCTGCGCTGTGCGTGCACGAGGCGCAGCACGCCGTCTTGTAGTAGGAGTAGACGCAGAGCCTGGCCTGCACCACCATCACGCAGTTGTGCCGTCTGTCCCTGCAATTCTCGTCTGTGGTTCCAAAACAAAGCAAAGGAGGGGGTGTGGGGGGGGGGGGGACAGGTTGGTACACACATATTCTCCAGACGGTGTGTCCCAAAAGTCATTAAACAGTAGCCCCGCCCCTACATTGTGGGGGTGACATTTTAATCCACCCTTGCAATAATTGAAATCCCAAATATAGAACAAAAATCGATTTCAATGGTCCCGAACATTGTACCGATCCCTCGTTGTGATTGTTTTTCAACAAATCCCATTCCCCCCACACCCCCCAAACAAAAACTTACTCAACACCTCACAATACAAATCAAAAATCATGTCTAAAAATGTACTTTGTTCACTATAAAATCAGACAGCCGTTGCTATAGGCATTAAAAAACAATTAGGAAATACTAATTACTTAATAAAAAAAATATATATAATAATAATAATTTTGGGAAAAAACATTTTTACAACCCCTCAAAATTTCCAGAAGTGCTGATAAACATTTAATACACAGTTTCCATGAAAAACTGGAACTGCCCTATAATAGGAGGTGAGTAGGGCTAATCATTTTTTAGAAAGATATGCAGGACAATAGCAGCTCAATAATATTTCAATTTTGACACAGTTGACATTTTTGGGGGGAAAAAAAAGCACAAAATGAGTTCTTGCCCCTTCATGTTTTCTTGTTTGGAAGTTTTGTGGGATCCTTGAATTGTAAATGTTATGCGAGAGAGCCCTGACAGCTTCTGCTGTTGGCTAAGGACAGTGGATCTGTTTTTAAACATGCTTTAAAAAATAGATCATCAAAAGTGAAATATGTGAAGAGCGCGTACTTTGCACATATTTCGCTAATCACAGGCTGGCATGTACTTTGCTCATTTTTAAAATGGTAGTTTGCACATACGTGCGTGGTCCTATGTGCCCCCCGCCGCCACCAAAGTAGCCCTGATGAAAAATTGTGAGCCCCTCCAGCATTCAAATTTTCCATCCTTTTTTCCAAATGGCGATTGCCGAATGTGATTTGAGTGAAGTGAGTGCTGTGCAGAGCGTGTAGCGCGAGTGGCATTCAACCTGGGACTTGCGGGCTGCATGGTATGGTGTTGCAGATTTGTTCCTGTACGGGCTTGATGTCGACACCGCAGTTCTGGCTGTGCCTTTTGTCCGCAGTCAGACAGCGCACCTCCCTCATCTGGAGGCCTTTTCCGCACGAGCGAGAGCACTGACACCAACGACACACAAAAGCACATTGTAGACCACGCCATTGCCCCCCGTTCCATCTCACGGGCGTGCTTGCGTCTCACCGCGCTCCACTCGGTGGTGAACCACTGCGGCTGGCAATCGCCCATCTCGCACTCCTGCACGGCCGCCGGTTTGTCCGCGTGAGCGCATTCAGCCGAGGGCACGACGGTGAAATCGTTGCCCGTCTTCTGGACGCAAACGACGTCCCGACGCTGGGTTCCGTTGCCGCATGGAACGTTGCACTGGAAGACCAACGTCACTTGGTCAGAAGTCAAAATAAATGCAGAAAGTCGAAACAAGGCCGGAAAAGATTTAAAGGCGGATATTTATGCCGACGCTGGCTGATTTGAAATCAAACAATGCTTTGGAACGGACGGCGTGGCAGCATTCTTACCTGCGTCCACGGGCTGCTGTACCAACTGGCGACGGGCACACAGGGACCCCCGTTGCAAGCTTTCAGCTCGGCCGGCTTCTCCCCGACGCAGCCGCCAGCTCCCTCGCCCTCTCGAACCCCTCCGCGCGTCAGGCACACCACCTCCCTCTTCTGCACGCCGGGCCCGCACCGCGCCGAGCACTTGGAGCAAGCGGAGCGGACGGCGGGTTACGGAGGAGAGCATCCCGTGCATTTGTAGGTGTGGGCGGGGGTGGGCGGGAGGGACACTCACGGTGGAGGTCCAAGCGGACGAGTACCAGTTGGTGACGCACGGGCCCATGTTGCACTCCTCGCTGCCCAGCGGCCGAGCCCGGGTACTGCACTCCATGTCGTTCACCACGCTGCCTTCGTCGCTCACGCAACGCACGCTCCTCGTCCTCTTGCCTACGCCGCAGTCCACCGAGCACTGTACACACACACACACACACACACACATGTGCACATGACATGAATAAACTTAATGACCTCATGATTCATTTGGCCAAGTTAGTGTACCGCACTTGAGCAAATAGTGAACGATTAATCGCAAGCGAGGCTTCAACTTGTTTCATGCATCAGTCATAAATTCTTTATCCTCCTAATATTACGACCATATGGATGAGTTGAGACGCCTCAAAGAGGCTTTACAAATCCCACTAGGGTTCTAGGCAATTTACCCCCACTGCGATATGATTGGCTGCCGTATCCAGTGGGATTTCTTACAACGGCTCATTGAAGTGTATCTTATACTGCCTCCAGGTGGCCAGGCAAGGGAAGCACACCAGAGGGCGCAAGCATTCAATTGCAATGCAATTATGACAAAAACAAAATGAGAAATTTCAACTCGAGATGATTATTGTAAACATTTTAAAATAGGTAGTCCCATTTTTTTTGGTAATATATTTTACATTCTATATACTACTAAGCGTTATTTCCAGGCTTTTTAGGAGAGGGTTATATTTTAAAATTTCAATATAAAATTATTTTTTTTACATTTGTATTATCCCAATTACGGCTATTAGTCTGATGAAGTACTGCAGAATTGAAATAAAGGCATCACACTGCCAAAGCGCAAGTGGTGGATTTGTATTTTTGTACGTTACCGTGCTCCAGTCGGAGCCAACCTCCCAGTGTGAGCAGAGCTGCAACTGGCAGGCCTGGGTGGACTCGGGCGGGACCAGTCCGGCGCAGCGCTGGGGGTGGACCATAGTGGAGCGGTTGCCGAAACTTTGCCTGCACTGCAGCTGGCGTTGCTGCGCGCCGGGCCCGCACGACACGCTGCACTCCGACCAGGCGCTCGCCTCCCAGCTGCTCGGAACACACGGAGAGAGAAACGAAACCGTCACCAACACGCAACTTTACACAACACGCAAAACTGAACTCTGGCAATTAATACATTGTATCCCATATGGATCACAGAATGACATTTATTAAACGCCCTCAAACATGAGACAATCTTTTTTGAAAATAAAAGCAGCGGTTTTTACACAGCTCGGCTTCGAAAACAAACTAGCAATAGTTTCTCTTCCGAGGTGGAGGTCGTGCGTGCGTCTTTGCTCACAATGGCGGACAGGCGTGCATATTGCAAGGCTCCTCATCTGGTGTTGGCTTAGCGGCAGAGTCACATTTCCTCTCGGGCACTTCCTCGTCTGTGTGGCGATCAATGCAGATGATCTCTCGATATTGATGGCCTGTGAGGAGAACGCCGGGTGAGACGTGTACTTGCGCTTGCACGCGGAAGCCACACGAGGGAGACACAGCACATCATTTTAAACTGGTCAGGGGGAGGCTCCCACCCAGGCTCGGCAATGCCATAGCACATGGCAGATGGGCTGTTTTGAATCCAGTGGTGCCTTGAGATCGGAGATGAACTCAGTCTGTGACCACACTCGTAATTCGAAGCAGTCTTATCTCAAATCATATGAAATGAATGGAAATGCCACTCATCCATCACAGCCTTCACCCCACCCCCCCGCCCCCCAAAAAGATTGTTGTAATGTGCATTTTAATGAGCAAAATTAGCCCTCCATAATGTTCCACTTCTGGTACTGTACTTGGATGTCTGTACCGTATACATATGTCAGCTCCTCGCAGAGGATAAATAATATGTGACAGTGAGTACTGTTATATTGAATGTCCAAATCTTTTGCTGTACTGTTTGTGTTCAACTATCAGTCACGCGAAGGGTTACATATGCGATTCCTATTACGTGTTAGCATTAGCGTGCATGCGAGTGTTTGTTTTCAACTTAGTCCAACGCAGTGCTGTGTCCTTAGGTCATTCATTGCTCTCTTTGATGGTGTATGTGTGGTTGGTGGGGGGAATTTAATTCATGTGAAGGACTTTGAGTTGCTTTCTTATGTAAGAAAAGCCTGATTGATTGATACTGTAAATACATAATGTGTAATCTTCTTGTGTAGTTTTTGAGTAAGCTTCGGCTGGGAGTGGCATTAAACATCTTCAAGACTATTTCACAATTTGTTAGTACTGCTTCTTGCGAAGTGAGTTGAATTGAGTTCATTGCCACCATATCGCACTAGCATCTCAAGTTTGCATTCGTGGGTCAAAGGACGAAAAAAAAAAATGACAGCTTGTACCGTGAAAACCTCACGGTCCATTTGACTCGTATTTCAAGGCACCATTGCACTAGCATCTTCCTTCTACGATATTTGCTCTGAGGCGGCATCAGGTGCGGACGAAAGGGGCGGGTCTGACCTTTGCCACAGGAGGCGGAACACGGCGTCAACGAGCCCCTCCTCCACACGAACGGCGGCTGCGTGTCCAGTGGCAGGTCAGTGCGAGGCGGGATGCGAGCGTACCGGTTGGGCGCGGATACCCGGTGCGGGGATCTCTCGCCGGCCCAGCGCTCCGACGACAAGGGTGCGAATAGGGAGGAAGAGGAGGAGGAAGATGAAGAGGAGGAGGGGAAAGAAGGGTTGGAATGAGGAGGAGGAGGAGCGGCGGCAGGCACGGGCTCTTGGATGGACACGCTGTGGGCACCTGCGCACAAGGAGGACGCCTCCAGTCCATATGGGTCACGCATGCACACGCACCAGAACCAGAACAACATACGCCCCCTCCCATGAAACGCATTATTCATCATTCCAATTTAATTTATATAACTTTTCAAAGAGATCTGCGATGAATGTTGCATTTTAAGCCGTGCGAATGTACTGACCGCGAAGGGACGCCCTCCCCTGCGTCTGCCTCTCACTGGGCGTCTCTCCCTCTGTCTTTTCCACGGGGATGTAAAACTCATAGTCGATGCCCGGGTTCTGCTGGTGGAAAATGATCTGCACAAACACCAGGCAAGCGGAATCGTCACAACAAAGTCACATATAGACAGATAATATAACAACAATCGCAGGCATATATTCTTTATCCTCTGTGAAAAAAAAACTATTATTACGCCACCTTCCTGAGTCACTACAGTACTATTCAAAGAAGTGCTATTCCTTATCCTCAATTGTGTCTGCATGAGTGTATTACACAGGACTGCCTCCTGGTGACCAAGAGAAACACGCCACAAGGAGCAGCACGATGAACTGGGTGGGAGCATTCAATTCTAGTTTCCTAAAATAAATAGATGAATAAATCACAATTCCCATAAAATGGAAAAAAAACCCCAACATGCTTGCGTTAACGTGCTAAGAAGTTGTTGCTCGTAAATGCAACTGTACATTTTAATTCGACGAAAGTATTCCGCTGATCTGCTGCAGATTGTGTGCATGCATGCAGCACGTGCAGCTCACGTGAAGCATACTCGGGCAGTCGAAACAACACTTACAATGTCCAAGGTCATCCAAACATAACTCAGCGGGGTTCCCGTTTTAATGTGCGATTTTTTTTTGCTATCTAAAAAAAAATGATACGTGTGTGTGTGTGTGTGTGTGTGTGTGCGTGCGTGCGTGCGTGCGCGTGTTGATGTGAAGAGACAGGACATGCAGGAAGTCATGCTCCGCTGACTATGAATCCTAATAAGAAGGTTCTGATTTCCATTTGGATCGTGGAGAGTTTTGTGTGTTTTTCAAGCGGCACCGCCCACACGGAGATGTTGAATTTTCATCCATCTGGAAATGTTTTCACTGCATCCATTCACTCGCAGCGCAAACCTTAAGTTGTTTGATATGCCTGAAGGCTTTTCGCACGCAGCCTCTGGTACACATTTGGCAAAGATATGACTGTACATTGCATCATTACAAGTTTGACTCGTAACGTTACGACTTGATTCTCAATATGAGCAATATCATATTGAGAAAAACATTGGCGGCTGGATCTCGAAAGAGGAGTTTTGCAATGAAGTAAAACAAGCCAAAATCCGGTCACTGAAACGGATGTTGTGTGAGCGTTTGTTTACTTTTTTCGACCTCCTGCCCCGAAGTGACTGCAGACAAATCTGCTGATGACTCCCTTTTTCTTTAATAAAATCTTAGCCTGAGGTTAATGTTGTTATTAGCCGGCCCGCTTTCGCCAGTTTGAAGATATCTCCTCTAATCCCGCTCTCATGCTGACACAATGTTGTCTCGCACCAAGATCTTGACACACACGAGGGGAAGCTCAGCCTGTGGCCATGCATGCTTTTACAATTTTGTTTGTTCTATGATGTCAAATAGTTTGTGCAGTTTGTGCGGATGCCACTTTGGTGTGGAAGACGCATACTCACATAGAGCTGCAACTGTGTGCTGGTGGGTCCGGGCGCCCTGAGGGACTCCCCTCGCTCGTCTTCCCCCTCCGCTCGAGGTCGGGCGTAAGTGAAGGTGGTCCCACCCGCCTGGTATTCCCCCGGGGGGTCCACGGCCCAGCGGCCGTTCACCACCGAAGCCCCCGTTCCGCTTCTCATGGCTGCGGGGTGAACAAGGTGTGTCAGAGGCACTAAAGTCGGTTAGTCAAAACACACCGGGGCACTCTCATTAGCAAGCGCAAGCTGTCAAGACAAATACACACGCTCACTTGGCTTGGCCCTCAAACAATGTGAGCCTTATCTTCTCCGACTCTGCCCAGCCACAACATTTACAATCTCCCGCTAAAGCCAGCAAACACCCCCTCGAGGGCCAAACTCGCACTTTAAACAGACACAGTGGTGCCTCCAGATACAAGTTCATTGCATTCCATGACCACACCCTCGGCACCAAAACACTTGAATCTCAAATCATTTTTCCCCAATGAAGTGAATGAAAGTGGAATTCGTTTGCTAACCACTGGACCACCGGGCCACCCGCTCTATAATATTGTGTTTTATAAAAACAGCGTAATCAAAATATAAATCATTCAACAGTTTGGATGTTATAATTTAATACTGCATCCAATTCTGTGTGCTGCTCCTTCTGGTGTGCCAACCTTGGCCACCGGGGTGCAGTATAAAACGACAGTCACGACCAAAAGTGGCACTCCGACCACGACTACCGCTTCTTCTACTGTACTACTTCAACTATTCGAAGTGATTCATTACGATACCGTTATGGGTTCGCAGTTCTGCGATGTCGCAAACTCAATTTTGTTCTTTGTTTTCGGTCTGTTGTTCCATTTTCTGCCACCAGGTGGCATTACACTGTTGTGTTTAGGCGAAGAAGAGAAAACGAAGCATTCCAAGATCGGTCTCTTTTTTTTGCTGAGGACATTCCGAAAAGATGACGAAATGCCTCAATCCTCAGCCATCCTGCATTTTGCGCCTACCGAAAGCAACTGCTCTCGGTTGATTTTGTCACGCACATCTTTGGGCATGATTATTGATTGTTATTGGATTTTCAAAAGGTCTTTTCTATAAAATCGATCGTAGATCTACATAAGATATCGACACAGTAGGTCAGGAATAAAGCAATTGCATCATGTTACCGATTGATATTTGCTTTTAGCAATTCTCCGCGATGGCTTTCGCCATTTTTCCTTTGGTATAAATTATACGCGACATGAATCATGACAGATATTCATCAGTCATAATTCAGTGATAAACGGGGTTCGGCTGTCAAGTTTAGTTTAGTTTTTTTTTTTTTTGTGAGCAGCTCACCCAGGTAGTTGGGACTGGCCCGCCTCTCCGTGATGTTGATAAAGGTGGCCCCTGCCGGGATGTCCAAGATCTTGTGGTAGCCGAGGGGAACGCTGATATTTTGGAAGCTGCCCGTCACCTTCTGACAAGCCGTGTCCCGCCCACCGCAGACGCCGCACTTGTCCAGCACCGAGCCGGAGCCCAGGACGCCGTCACAGCCCTCCGTCTGGTGGCCACCGGAGGAGGGTCGACACAACAAAAAAACAAGAGGGAGGGATGAAGACAAATGGACATTCCGATCTTGTAAACATTTCACATGCGTTGTCAGTGTTTATGTCGCTGATGTTGTGCAATTCGGACATTTACGAGCGTGACCGCTGCCAAATGCTGACAGGGTGAATGAGGGCAAAAGGAGGCTGACCAAGCGCCCGCTTTTACGAGAATAGATCCACTTTGGGACCTTCTTTTTATTGTGGCTCGCCTAGCCGGGTTCCCACGGAGCCTTGTATTCTGATTAGAATGAAACCGAAGGACCAAACGGAATGAAAATGCTCCTTTGAAACGCCTCCATCAGAATTAAAAGGCCAAATTCAAATGGAATTTCACGGGAATTCGCACGGGTGGCATATTACGGAATAGCCAAGCTGCGTCTGGTCGACACATTCTCTGTCTTGATGGAAATGCGTAGTGACGTCGTCCGATCCGCACTTGCAAATGGCAGCGTCGTCTGCGACAGGAGAACTTTTTGAACTACGGTTTTCCCCGATTTATTGGTTGTGGTTAAAAAAAGCACCCGAACCAGGTGCCAAACTTTGGAGTCCAGCTGCCGTGGCTTGGCTGCTTTCTAGCGCTTTATTGTCAGCTGCGAGTGTGCGCATGCCACGCCGAGAATACATAATGCATAGCGAGGAGAGGGTAAAAAAAAAAACCCCATCACCAACAACAAAATAAATAAGACTCGACAGCTAGCATGCAAACGGGGCTTCGGACCCGCGTCACTGCTATAGAGTGCCTTGTTGTCAGCAGTGAGTGCATGCGCATCGCAGCAAGAAAGGGTAAGGCGGATAAAATTGTATTCACGTTTCGAAGTCTGGGAAGAAACATTTGATTGACAGTCCAGCGTTGTTTCTGCACATTCAGCGATCGTAAGATATGATCACTTTATATGCTCTGCGATTTTTTGGTGGGAGGGAATTCAATTTGGCAGGCTCGTGAACGACACCCTTTCTCTGCGGTATGTCCAATTTACAAGACATTCATTTTCACTTCACGGCGACTTTAAAGCCGCACCACTAATTGGCGTCGTCGTCAATTTTTGTGCAGTCAGGTCAATGTCAGTCATTAAAGCGGCACTAGTGAATTGTCCCGACTGCCATTACGTGGCGGTTTGGACAAATTATTGGACAAAATCTGTCATTTTCCTCTAAAATAATGTTAATTCTTAAAAATGTCATTTATGTTGCTGAAAAGAACCTCTGGACATCACAAGTGAATTTCGCCGCACTCACCAGACATTGTCCTTGGACGCACACATCGTTGGAGGTGGCATTGAAGCAAGGCGTCCCGTCTCGCACCTGCTCGGCCTGCCGAACGTAGAAGCGATAGCCCGCCGGACGGCACGTCAGCTCGCATTGCTTCTCCGGCCCGACTGAAACACACGTCAAGAGCGTCAACGGCTAAACTTGCATTCAGAAGTCGAAGCGAAAACTCCTTTTTTTTTTCTTTCTATGGCTTTCGATGCAGGATGACCAAACGGGGGCTCGGGTCCAATGGAAGCGTTCGAGAACATCGCGTTATTATGGAATGCCACTTGAGTTCGACGCAGTCGTGTCGAGGTGCGACAGCCTAGTCATACTGCAGAGGGGATTGTCCTGGGATTCGTACTCACGCTTCATTGAGACGTCTCAGCTCATCTGAGCTCATCAGCAGAGCACTGATATTAGTCATTCGACACAGGGCATAAAGTGTGGTTGTAAAGTGTGTTGACTTTCTCGCAGTTGTAGCGCAATATCTCAAGTCCTTTCTGGTGCGGCGCCAAACATCCGCTTTCAGGAACTAAGGCTCCAAACCAAACTGATCAGTCAATTCCCCGACCCCGCTCGCAAGTGAGCACATGCCCACGAGAGAGCGAGACCTTTAATCACGAGCAAGGGCTGAGATTTACGAGGAGCCCGGGAGGCCCAGGCTGTACCGTGAAATATATGGAACTGTTCATGGAGAGGGGGAGCGACCCGAGGGAGTTGGAGGGCCGCTTTAAAAGAAAACGCCGAAAAGTTTTAGCACTCACATAGACTAGAGAACTCCGATACGTCACAGGGGAGTCAGAGTGGTCCGCAAGTCTTGTGGGCCACATAAGGTCTCTACCGAGTCCGTATGTGGCCCACAATGTGAAATGAGTTTGACACCCCTGACCTAAACGGTTCACATGTGGACAGGTAATATATAAAAAAGGAGATTGAATTTTCTACTTCTCGGGGAAGAATCTGGACCCAATGTTGAAACGGGTCGCTGGAGATGTCTTTAACTTTCAATTGAAGAGCCCTGCCTTTGTCCATAACAGCGTCATACGTTCCATTCCCTCCCTAGCGCTAAAAGAATGAGATGATCTTACTCTCGGAAAGAATGCGTTTCCAAATAAAGACGATTCCTTTTAAAAGTGACAAAGCATTTGCGAAATGACTAACACAGGCAGCTGGTGGCTCCAGGGATCGACATTCTCTCGGAGGTAAGAGACTGGCGGTGTTATGGGGTTAAAGTCCTCCAGCAATGGACGGGTCTGTGCTTATATGAGAGATAGCGCGATAGACATGAGCTCATAGTGGCAGAAAAGGGTCACAGATTGAGTTGCATATAGGAGGGGGATGTGGGGGTGAAAAGGACATTTTTAACGCTGTATCACTTGTCTCCGCTAAATTACTAGAAATCCACCCACAGTTCCATGCATATACAAAGTATATTTATACTCTATATAATAAGGCATAAAACAAAAAAAAAAAAGAAGTGGTTTCTTCTCCAAATATTTTGACTTTGGAGATTTTGGAGCTGGTGTTGCAAAAAAAAAAATAAAATATGCGTGTCAATTTATCTCGCTGTGGGTCCACTCTCAGTCGAATGACATATCGCTAACATAGGGCCTTCGGGTGGCGCGGTTCAAATAGCAGATGCTCAACGTCTCCTTGGGCATCAAAGTCAGTGGTTAAAAACACGCACACCTGCTCAGGTGTCGTATGTGCGAGTTTGAAAAATGAACAATATTTTGACGTGTAATCACCAGAAAGGGTAAAAAATGCAGCAGAAAACCACGAGCCGACATCAAGTCAAGTTCGACGTCACAATTGCTTTCCTGCTGGATAAAGTCAACATCGTTAGCTCATTTAACATCACCTGCCGCTGCTAGTTAGAACGAATTGTCATCCCTCCACAGGACCGACGCAGCCGCTGGCGCTCTTTCAATCGCTTTACTGGATGAATGGTCTCAAAATAGCTTCGCCGCAAGCGCACCTTCGCCCACCTGCCGACGGCCTCAACTGCTACCGTCACGCTACACGCACGCTTGCTAACGCTAAAGCCGGTTCTCGCAGCCGGCCGACCGCGCAGCCTCATTTTCTCGTTTCCACGTCACTCAACAGGCCAGGCCCGCCTTTGAAAGGCAGGCACGCAGTTTGGCATCGCAGATTCTACAGGGGAGGAGCTGAGGATTTCGACCCTAAATGGAGAAAAACAATGCCCGTTTGTTGCTACATATGCATGAAGCTTTAACGTCGACATAAATTCTACAATCCAAACTCGGTTGCTACCTTTGTGAATTTCATCTAATAAGGAATGACGAGTGCACTAAGCGGGGGCCGACCAAAAGCGAGAGAAAGAATCCGAGTCCCCAGCCTGCCTTTCTGTGTCTCTTTCCATTCGCTCTCATAGTTATTTTTTTTGAGAGATTAGACTGTAGACAGTGGCAGGGGGGGGAAAAAAAGTGCTCTGCGCGCATGCTCGTGTAGCCTTCGTCCTCACTTGCTGCAGGTCAATCATTTTTTGGGGGGGACAATATCGAGCCAATGTCTGTTGGGCCTGATTCTCGCCTCTGCCGCTTCTGTCCCTACCGTCACTCTCAGAGCTCACTGGTGTTCAGACAGTGGAATATTTGTCCTCTAAATATACTTCCTCCCCGCTATCGCTCCATCTAAACACACTCGGGCAGAGAAAGAGAAAGCGAGAGGCAACGCTGGGGCAGGAAGTGATGGGAGGGGAGGCTGGGAGGGAGGGGGGTGAAAGTGGGGTTGAGGCCGGAGAAATTGAAACAAAAAAACAACACCTGCACGTGCAGCGCTTACAGAGGATTTTTGAGCGCATTTCAGACACTTTGGGAGGCCTCGGCATTGGGCATCGTGTTGTGTAAATATCGACCCGACTGGCAACTGGCAAAATGGCTGCCGGGAGTTCAGTTATTGCAAATTGTTTTGAAAAGAGAGCACGTCTGAAACTGGACACAAGCACAGACAACCATTCCCCTGCACGGGACTGCATTTTGTCATTCGCATCCACATGCTTGTCCCTGTCGGTCAAGTCCTGCAAATTGCTATTTTGGATATTTAGAGTTGCGCAAAAATTTGGTGGCCACCCAATGGGTGTGGACTGAAGTGAACACGCTCAAGTTGAACGCGTCAAAGCTGACGTCATGTGCAAGGACGCGAAGAGTGGAAGTGAACTGCGGCTTGTTCTCTCCGGCGTAATCAAACGCGTACGATTGGCCGTGTCGCTTCCCGTTTGAGGGCGGTTGTTTTTCTTCACTCCTGACTTTTTTTCTTCGCTTGCCTCGCTGAATGAAAAAAGCCAGACTGGATCGTGGTTGAAAAACTCACTGCGGGGGAACTTTTCAGAGGACCGAATGGTCACTCAGGAGAGGAAGGAAAGCCACGCCGAGTCTGTTTGGTCATTTCGCTTCATATACAAACAGGAGACAGAGAATAATATTAAAAGTCTCGGTCATTTAAATGTTTATGGAAAATACGCAAAATTGTTTCGAACATAATACATTCTCCCCTTTGATTTCATTTTTCATAATGAAGTAGAATTGAATAACCAATTATTTTAGAAAATTGACATTATTTATGCAAGTAGGCTGCTTTAGAGTGCCAAAACATTTTTAAGTAGAATTGTATCACCAATTATTTCAGAAAATAGACATTATTTATGCAAGTAGGCTGCTTTAGAGTGCCTCGTTGTCGGACATGAAGGATATTTTTTTTTTCTCCAAATGACAGGAAAAATGAAGAACTATTGCGAGGCAATTTTTCCAGGATTCTTGATCATGTAAATCAAGGGCTTTATCTCACGAACGACAATATCTATTTGAAATGAGACGTCAAGGAAAATCGCACAAAGTATCCAACTAAAAATGAGTTCAGTTTATATTATGAAGAAATTTGGAGTCTCATAACATCTGGAAAAAGTGAACAAAAATCTCTGAAAGTTTCGGTTCTCTCAATTTATATCAATCATGTATTTGTTGTACTTCTTCGCCACTTTGGGAGGGGGGGTGGTGGTGGTGGTGTTGGGGGGGTATGGTGGGGAATTTCCTTTATTTTCAGGGCATTTCCTGTTTTGGAAATATTATCCGGCACTGTTTGATCAAAGATTACTGTTTCTTTGAGGAGGCGTTTGTTTGTTTGTGTCCCCCCCACCCTCTCACAAATTCTATTTATATGACTCTAAATTAATAAATAAATTATTCAACAATAGTTTGTCTCAGAATCAAATGAGCCATGAAGCTCGTTACGGCCTGTGGACATCAACTTATCGTCAATGATGACTGTCTGATGATCATCTGCAGTGGATAGAAAAAGTCCACACACCCCATGATATGTTTTTTTTCCATAATGAACGTGAGTTCGAACCAGCACAACCATACTGCATTCAATTAAAGTGGTTGCACAAGTGTGCACACCCTCATAACTGAGAATATGGCTGTCCATAATAAACCAGCTCACGTTGAAGCGGACGTCAGCACACACCTGCCGCCATTTCAAGAAAGGGCCTCTGATTCAACGCAAATAGAGTTCCAGCTGCTCTAGGAGGCCTTTCCTGACATTGCTTTCTTGCAGCTGTTGAAAGCGTTCTTCTTCACAATAGTCACACAGAGGAATACGTGATTATCATTTTGATCATTGAACATTTTGGAATTAGCAATTCCGCCAGACGACGAGTCAACTTTGCCACGCTTGTTCGGCCCAAACATATCGACAAAGAATGCAGCGCTGCATGCAAAGAGACTGATGGGAGCGGAGACGTATGTCGACAGAAATGTTCACGCATAGACATCCATGGAGACCAAGACACAACAGTCGGATGTGACGGAATGTGCTGGAATGTAACGCCCTACTTTGGCCCAATCTATTGCGTTGTCGAGGGGCTACGGCGCATGTGAAACTATTAACAGGAGTCGACAGATGAAAAGCTTTGCGTCACACAGAGACGAATTAAACAACTTTACGCATGATTGTCGATACATATTGCAACTATCCCGCTTATCCCGGGAAAGAAATGCATACCAAAACATGAGAAAACGTGTGGACACTTGTGCAACGACATTGTTTCAGTTGTTTATACAACAACAGTACACGCTCTCGAAAAGATCAAAAACTAATTTTGGGGTCAGAAAATATGACGAAATGACTTTTGCTGGTTTCTTTCTTTTTTTCTTTTTTTTTTTTTTTTGCCACATCACGAAACGTGGCATTTGAACTGGATGTTCAGATCTCGACCTCAATCGTGAAGTTTCTAACAGTGTCCAACATTCCAAACCTTTCAGAAAGCCAAAAGAAAATAAAAGTCGGTCAGGCCACGTCGCCTTCATGTGACACTTGCATCCTATCACCTCCCTCTCGCTGCCTCCATTTCTCTCCGGCTTTTATCTCATTCGGCAGGAATCTGCTGAGAACTGAGTCAAAGCAGGGAGGAGAAACTTGGCAGCGATGAAGGCAGACAGAAAGGGAGAAGTTGGACAAATGAGGGGGGAACAGAAAAGAAGAGAGGGTTTTTGTGTGCGTGTGTGTGTGTGTGTGTGTGTGTGTGTGTGTGTGTGTGTGTGTGTGTGTGTGTGAAAAATGAGTTTGAGCCCCATTGGCTATCTTGTCGCTCCACCTCACACACACCACCCCCACCCCTCAAAAAAGTGACATTTATCCACAGGTGGAAAAAATGGCCACACATTTGAGTTACGTTGAATTGTTTAAAAACAACAACAACAAAAACATGACTCCAAAAGTAGAAGTAATGATTCAACTCATTGACTTGTACTTAGCTAAAGGTATAAAAGGAGACTAAATGATTTTGTAATGGCAAAAAAATAATAATAATTAAGTGTTTTCGTAGCACTGCTAATGTTGTGACCTGACAACCAAAAATGATAAATTATCTATGACTGAAAAGAGGGGGAAAAGAATTACAGTGATGCCTTGAGTTAGGAGTTGAATTCGTTCCTTGACTGTGCTCC